AACCTCTGCCTCCCAAGTTTAAGCGTTTCTCCTGTCTCAGCCTCCTGAGTAGCTGGGATTACAGGCGTCCGCCACCACGCCTAGCTAATTTTTGGGTTTTTAGTAGAGACAGAGTTTCACCATGTTGGCCAGTCTGGTCTCGAACTCCTGACCTCAGGTGATCTGCCTGCCTCGGTCTCTCAAAGTGTTGGGATTACAGGCATGAACCGCCACACCCAGCCATGCTTTACTCTTGAAAGCGACATTAGCAGCCCTTCACACAGCAGAGGTCAGAGAGCCTGTGGAGTTGGAAGACTGGGGACTCTTCTGTTTCATACGATGATTGGGCACCTGCACAGGCTGCTGGATTTTATGTCCAAGGCGGAAGCTCAAGCAGAACACAGCAGAGTGTCCTCTCCTTAAGGCAGAGTGCCCTTTTGGTCCACGTTTCTGTCACACTCAGAAATTTCCAGTGAGCTCTGGGGTTCTTTAGGAGCAGTCTGCAGAGTGAGGCCCCTGTTCGGCCTCCATGTCCGCTGCCTGCACCTGCCCCTGCATCTGTCCCTGCACCTTTGGAAGGGCATTTGCAGGCCTATTTTACATGATGATACGTGTCTGGTGCAATTCTTAAAAGTTCCTGAATTTAGAAGACGTGGGAAAGGAAGGAGATACCATGAAGCATATAGTTTTGCATACTGGGAAAATTTACTTACAAATTAGAAAAATGTCCCACAGAAAAAGAGACCCAAGACCCCAGACCTCATCTTGACCTTTGCTGTTGGTGTCTGTCCTTACAACTGTCCAAGGTAGAGTGAATGGGGAGTGCAGACAGTGTGGGCATCCCCCTGGGTGTCACAGGAGACAGGCTGTGATGGGACATGGGTACTCACGTGTTCTGTGTCTGCATCTGGATCTCTACAGGTAGACAGCACATACCTGTGTGTCAGTCAGCAGGTGTTCACTGGTGCTGGCCACCCGTGTGTTTTCGGTGCCAGGTCCCTTTCTGTTCCTGTTCTAGCACTGGGGCCTCCCAACTCTTTAGCCAGATGCCTTCCCCAGACCCGCCTGGCTCCTCCTCAGTGAGGCCATTTGATTCTTCTTCTTAATCGTTGTTATCAGTGAGACAGTGTCTTACTTTGTCACCCAGGCTAGAGGACAGTGGTGCAGTCTAGCTCATTGCAGCCTTGACTTCCTGGGCTTGCGTGATCCTCACACCGTGTGTTGCCCAGGCTTGTCTGGAACTCCTGGGCCCAAGTGAACCACCCATCTCCGTCTCCCAAATTGCTGATTACAGGTGTGAGCCACTGCACCTGACCTTTATTCTTCTTTAAAAAATACAGCCTTTCCCATACCACTACCTGTGTGCTTGGTGCTTCTCCTCACGGGAAAGGGCCCAGTCACAATGCTCTCTGCCTGGCCTGCAGAAGCGGGACGCCATGTTCACTGCTGCATCCTCCCACCTGAAGGAGGGCAGGGCAAGATTTCTCTTGAGCGCAGAGGAGCTATGAAAGTCTCTTCCCCAGTCAGCTCAGACCTCAAACCTCACACAGAGGTATAAAAGCCACAGTGGCCCAGCCTCGGGCAAATGCCACCTCGATGGAGCTCCCTGGGCGTTCTCAGGAGCAGCCACAGGAGCAGCCTGGGGCAGAAATGGCATCTGCTGATGGCTGCGTTGGCAGAGTGCTCAGCCTCTTTCCTCTGTAGCCCCCACGCTGGGCTAGAACCAGAGCTGGGAGTGGGGAAGGTGCAGTGCAGCCGGCCCTGCAGGGTGGGGTGGTGCTCTTTGTGGGACAGGGTTCTCCAGACTGGGTTGTGAAAGTGAGGAAAGCATTTGCTGTCATCGGAAATATTTAAAAGAATAGGATGCACGCTCTTAGGAAGGTCCGCAATGGAAATTCACACCATTTCATCAGACTGAGCACCCTTTGCATTTAGAAAGTTATATTCATTTTCTTTACAAATGTCTATGTCTTAAAAAACACTGAAAATGTTCCAGAATTAGGGAGGCTTATGAGCTGTGCTGGCAGAATGTGTGCGGGAAGTGGCCTGGACCCTCAGGGAATGCCCCCCGTCTCGCAGCTAGCAGGGTAGTCAGAGCTGTGGCCACTGCGGTGAGGGAAGAAGCAGCGTGTACAAGTGCCCACGGTTGCGTTCACGGTCGAGGCCCTGTGTGTGTGATTGACCTCACACTGTCCAGACACAAATCACACACATGCACACGCCTGTCTATAGGGAGAGCCAATGCGTGGGGACAGAATGGGTGACATCGGTCACGATGGCTCACACCTCATCGCAGCACTTTGGGAGGCTGAAGTGGGCAGATTAATTGAGGTCAGGGCCTCAAGACCACTTGGCCAACATGGTGAAACCCCGTCTCTACTAAAAATTCAAAAAACTACTTGGGCGTGGTGAGGTGTACCTACAGTCCCAGCTCCCAGCTGCTGAGGAGGCTGAGGGAAGAGAATCCACTGAGCTTGAGAGGACAAGGCCGCAGTGAGCTGAGACTGCACTGCTGCATGCCAGTCTCGGCAACCAGAGTGAGATGCTGTCTCAGAAAGAAAAAGACTTGGGAGGCAGAAACGATGTGGGGCAGAATGTTAGCCAGAGGTGGATCTGGGTGGAGGGCACATGGGCGTCCTTGCTGTGTTCTGTGTTTGTTTTTATGAGAGAATCTTGCTCTGTTGCCCAGGCTGGAGTGCAGTGGCACGATCTCGGCTCACTGCAGCTTCTGCCTTCCGGGTTCAAGTGATTCTCCTGCCTCAGCCTCCCGGCTAATTTTTTTTT